ATCATCATCATCATCATCATCATCATCATCATCATCATCATCATCATCATCATCATCATCATCATCATCATCATTATCATCATTATCATCAGCATCACCATCATCATCATCATCATCATCAGCATCATCGGCATCATCATCATCATCATCATCATCATCATCAGCATCAGCATCAGGGGCATCATCATCATCATCATCATCAGCACCAGCATCATCATCATCATCATCATCAGCAGCATCAGCAGTATCACCATCATCATCATCATCAGTATGATCATCATCAGCATCAGAATCAGCATAATCATCATCATCAGCATCATTATCATCATCGTCATCATCATCAACAACATCAGCATCATCAGCATCATCAACATCAGCATCAGCATCAGCATCATCATCATCATCAGCATCATCATTATCAGCGTCAGCATCAGCATCAGCATCAGCATCAGCATCAGCATCATCATCATAATCATCATCGTCATCATCATCATCATCGTCATCGTCATCGTCATCGTGATTGTCATCGTGATCGTCATCATCATCAGCATCATCATCAGCATCAGCATCATCGTCATCATCATCATCAGCATCATCATTACCATCATTATCATCAGCATCACCAGCATCACCATCATCATCATCAGCAGCATCATTAGCATCATCATCATCATTATCATCAGCAGCATCATCATCATCATAATCATCATCATCATCAGCATCATCATCATCATCAGCATCATCAGCATCAGCATCATCATAGGGCATCATGCTAATCATCAGCAGCATCATCAGCATCGTCATCGTCATCATCCCCATCATCATCAGCATCATCAGCATTATCAGCATCATCATCATCGTCATCATCATCATCAACGTCATCATCGTCATCATCATCATCATCATGAGCATCAGCATCATCGTCATCATCATCGTCATCATCAGCATCAGCATCATCATCATCATCATCATCAGCATCATCATCACCATCGCCATCATCATCATCAGCATCATCATCATCACCACCATCATCATCATCATCAGCAACAGCATCATCATCATCATCATCATCATCATCATCATCATCATTATCATATTCATCAGCAGCATCAGCAGTATCATCATCATCAGCATCATCATCATCATCAGCATCATCAGCATACTCATCATCATCAGCATCATCATCATCATCATTATCATCAGCATCACCATCAGCAGCATCCTCCTCATCATCAGCAGCATCATAATCATAGCATCATCATCAGCAGCAGCATCATCATCATCAGCAGCAGCATCAGCATCATCATCATCAGCATCATCATCATCAGCATCAGCATCATCATCATTGTCATGATCACCAACATCATCATCATCATCATCATCATCAGCATCATCATCATCATCATCATCGTAGTCATCATCATCATCAGCAGCATCAGCAGCAGCAGCATCATCATCCTCATCATCATCACCACCATTACCACCACCACCATCATCATCATCATCATCAGCAGAGGCATCATCATCATCAGCATCAAGATCATCATCATCATCATCATCATCGTCATAATCATCATCATCATCATCAGCATCATCATCATCATCATCATCATCATCATCATCATCATCATCTTCCTACTCCTGTTCCTGCTCCTGTTCCTCTGCCTCAGTTACCTGTTTTTGTTCCTGATCCTGTTCCTGCTCCTGCTTTTCCTCCTCCTCCTCCTCTTCTTCTTCTTCCTCCTCCTCCTTTTTCTTCCTCCTCCTCCTCCTCCTCCTTCTCCTCCTCCTCCTCCTCTCTTCTCTCGTCCGTTTCGTCCTCCTGTTCCTCCTCATTTTCCTCCTCCTTCTCTCCCTCTTCCTCCTCCTCTTCCTGTTCCTTCTTCTCCTCCTCCTCCTCCTTCTCCTACTCCTTCTCCTTCTCCTTTTCCTCCTCCTCCTTCTCCTCATCTTTCTCCGCCTCCGCCTCCGCCTCCGCCTTCTCCTCATTTTCCTTCTCCTCCTCCTTTTCCTTCTCCTCCTCGTTCTCCTCCTTCTCCCCCTTCTCCTCCTCCTCCTCCTCGTCCTCCTCCTCCTCCTCCTCCTCCTCCTCCTCCTCCTCCTCATCCGTTTCTCCTCCTCCCCCTCTTCCTCCTTCTCCTCCTCCTCATCCTCCTCCTTCTGCTCCTCATCCTCCTCCTCCTCCAACTCCTTTTTCCTCCTCTTCCTCCTCCTCCTTCTCCTCCTCCCTCCTCCTCCTCCTCCTCCTCCTCCTCCTCTCTCCTCCTCCTATTCTCCTATTCCCACTCCCCCCCCTCCCTATCCTCCTCCTCCTCCTTTTCCTCCTCCTCCTCCTCCGCCTTTTCCTTTCCTCCTCCTTTTCCTCCTCCTCCTATCCTCCTCCTCCTCCTCCTCCTCTCCTCCTCCCTCCTCTCCCCCTCCTCCTCCTCCTCCTCCTTCCTCCTCCTCCTCCTTCTCCTCCTCCTCCTTTTTTTTCCTCCTCCTCCTCCTCCTCCTCCTCCTCCTCCTCCTCCTCCTCCTCCTCCTCCTGTCGCTCAGGACTCCGATGCACTTGCGCCAAACAGCAGCGGTTGAACCCGAGACGAGACAACGACTGCGAGCAGCAGCGAGGGGCGAGGGAGGGAGTCTTGTGGAGGGGATGGATTGACACTGTCATGAACCTGCTCAATTACCCCTCCCCACTTCTCGCCCTCCCGACCCCAGTTTCGACCCTGGCCATCCCGCTGCAACCGCGTCATCGGGCTCGGGCCCCATGTCGGGGTATTCGTCGCGCTCAGACTTGAACAAATGATAGGCGGTCCTGAGCGTACTTCCCCATTCGTCGCCGCCGCCCTCCAGATCCCGCGCCCCCGGCTTCCTCCAGCACGCGACGCGGACGTGCTTCGGGAGCGCGACAACCTGGAGGATTGCAGCCACGAGGTGCGAAGTGCGCCAAGCCCGACTAGCGTTATGTCGGCAGGGCATCCTAGAGGGCCTCATCAGGGACCCTTTGTTTTTTTCCCCGCCAGGCTCCCGCAGGAGCATCCGCAGGCCCTCGGAAATTTCCCTGCAAGCCTCCCGCGGGGCACCCGCAGAGCATATGCAGGGCCTCACCGAAAAAACAAAAAGCATCCGCAAAGCCATCCGCAAAGCATCTGCAAAGCATATGCAAAAACACAAAAAAATAAGAAAAACAAGCAATCATATGTCTTGCACGCAACACGATCGTCTCAGCGTAGGAAGAAGTCCAGACTGGCGCGCCCCCGAGGCACCGACGATTGATATGCATGTTATAGGAAAGGCTAGACGAGTATATATGTGAAGGCGCTGGGAAGCCTCATAAGGGGGCTGGCGGATATATCTTCAGAGTGCAGGCGGGGCTCCTAAGAGGGGACTCATAGGGGGCCTCATGGGGGGGTCGGCGGATGTACGGGGGCTGGGGGAATTCTTGGGGGGGCCTTACTGAGTGAATGCGCTGGGTGGCCTCATATGGGGGCTGGCGTATCTAGCTACAGATCGCATGCTGGACTCCTGAAGGCCTAGGTTGAGAATCTGGGGGCGTCCACGGCAGGGTGTCTAGGGCAGGGTGTTCTGGGGTGCTTAATGGCTCAGGGCGGGTTCGCGATGTGTCATACGTGCCAGCGCAGAGATATAAACGGTTAGTTATCTTGACCCGAACTTTTAGTCCAAAGTTTCAGGCGGTCGGAGCCGAAATCCATACGTGCGGTAAGTTTTGGAAAATAGTGAGACATCGGGGAGGGAGGGGATGTGACTTCAGGGAGAGGGGGGGCGGATTGAGAACCCCAGAGATGAGAAATGATGGAGGGGGGCACAGTACATTATATATTTAAGAAGAATCAAAAGGGCAAACATAGGTAAACGAAGAGATGAGGAACATCTACCAGACAGCCAGCCTTGAAATACCAACCCTGGCAATCAACAGACAACACATCTCGTTCATGACCGTAACCATTTTGGCTCAACTTTCGGCATTCTCCATATCATGTTCGTACCACTTGTACTCATGTACGCATACATAACAATTTTGTTCGCGTCAGCCTTTATGGCAGGCGCAGGTGACTCGTGGCTTGCGGCTTTGAGCGACGTTGGCAGCGACACGGCCGTCGACGACGATGTGGGCGAGAGCTGGCTTTCAGCGCTGGGCGCCGTGAGCGATAAGGCTGACGCTGGGCAGGAGCTGCCGCAGCCAGATGGAGACGACTGGTTGGCAGGTGTGGACGCCCTCTCGTGCGACGACTGCTCTGCCGACGGCGACGTGGACGGCGAGCTCGACCATGAGATGGCGTTGGTCCCCGTAGAGGTGAAGAAGGATGTCTACTGGGCATCGCACGCTTGCAGGCACGTGCCCGACAGCGACCTCGACGAATCAGCTTTCAAGATAGCCACAGAGGTGATGGACGACGACCCGCTCACAGGGCGGATCACCAGCAACGCGCGTAACCTCGACGAGAGCCGCTCGAAGTATAGGGACACGCTGAAGATCATGGCAGGGTGTGCGTTGCAGGTCTTAAAGGCGTTTGAAATGCAAACCGTCGCTGCGATTTCGATTTGTTTTTTTGGTGGGCCATCTCGGCCCCAGGCCGGGGAAAAAACACTGGAAACCAGATCGCGATGCAGCGGCGGTTTGTTTTCAGACGCCGCCGCAGGTCGAGCGCAACGTATGGAAACACGCTGAGGAGCTATTGGTTAGCTACGCTGGCTCTTCCAAGAGAGTGGAGCTTCTGTGCTACGTGGAGTACGCCAGCTATGACAGCACCGATTTTATCTTGCAGAGTACGCAAACGGTGACCGAGACGCTCGACGACGGACACTCCATCGTGGACCACGGGGCCCCTCCAGGACAAGAGCCAGATGAAGCTAACACCGTCGTTCTTGTGGAGAAAACAGTGGGCACGAAAAAGGTACTACAGATGGACACGAACGTTTTGCTTTTGCTGAAGATTGATGGTCGGTATGCGATTCTCCGTGGGAATATGCTATCGTGGCTCCAGGTGTGCGATAGGAACTCTGCTAAAAACTACAAGGCTGCTATTTCAGAATATTCGATTGGGACATCAAATGCAGCTTCGTTCCTCAGGAGGCTTCGCATTGTTTGCACTGAGAGGTACACGGCAAATCTGAAGGCTGAGCGCCATCTATTGTCTGAGCGCGAAGGATGGGCAGTGCTACACCTTCTTTGTCGGGTACACACAGTGTCTGGATTCCACACTAAAGTTTACGACATGCACGCGGAAGATATATCGGGGCTTATTGCGACGACGCTTTCACTGAGGCTGGCTGGCCAGATGAGCTTGCTACGAAAGGCTGCCAGGCGGATCATTAGACAGAAGTTGGTGATTGTGACAGGCGTAGCTCTGGATGCCAAGGCAGTTGCGTTCAGGAACCTGGTGATGGATACATTCTTGGACGCTTCTCCTCAGTGCGTGGCGCTTCGAATGCTGCTCGAACGGTGTGCGCCAGGGGATTGGAGAGATAAGGACCGTATGATGTTCGTTGCACGGCCAGGGGAGACTCGAGCTGACGTCCTTCGTCTGCTGTTCAAGGAGTTCGTGCCAGCAATCTTCCCCCACGCCCCGTACTTGTTCCCTCGCCACAGGTGGACTGGGGCAGACATCACGTTTCGCGACGTCGGCCTGCCGATGAACATCCACGGCCTCTTCGGGGCGACATACATGAGCTACCTGAACGTCGAGTACGGCGACGAGGATCCTGGCGACTACCCAGTCGCGCAACCCGACCTGCAGCTGGTGCCGCATGAAGGGCAGCAGGCCCCGCCCGAGGATATCGAGGGCGAAGGTCCAGCTGCCGATGCGCAGCCGCCCGAGAAGGATAAGGAGGCGCCCGAACCTGGCGCGCAGAAGGCCGATCACCCACGAAAGGCCTTCGCCGAGCAGAGCAAGGCATACCGCGGCCAAGCGCGCGACTGGATTTCCACTGAGCCGTCCATCCAGGTCCTGTTCTTCAGGGCGGTTTTGGAGCCAATCAAGAAGTTCCTGGAGATGGAGTTGGAGATGGCAAGCGAGGAGTGGGAGATGAATCAGGACTGTGCCCTTCTCGCCTCAGACGGCGATGCGACGGTGTTGGGTGGGAGGCAATGGCCTATGATGAGTGTTGCGATGCTGACGTTGGAGACCGAGTGCTTCAAGGACATTGAGAAGGTGGCGAAGTCTATGGAGCTGGACTGCCTGCCAGATGATTGCATGACGCTCGAGAACCAGACGAAGCTGCGCAAGGACTTATCCAGAGAAGGCTGTTGCACTTATCAGTTCGGGGCCTCGATCGGAAAGCAATTCCCCTTCAGGTTGTGTTTGCTTCTTGATGATCGCGCTTTGGCTCCAGAACTCGAGGCTTCTTGCAGGCTTATTCGCGACAAGTTTAGCGATGACTTTATCGAGTACTACAAAGATAAGCCTGGCGGGCTAACGAGCGACCAGGCTTTGCACGAGTTGAGCCTCATCGTGATGGCCAGCAAGACGGCGACGGTGAAATTGGAGACTCAGAACGCGCAGATCAGAAGGCAGGTGGAGGCTACCTCGCTGCAGTCCGCCAGGCCCGAGCTGCCCACCATCAGCGGCAGGTTTGTTCTGAGGAAGGCTTCTACGAGAGAGGCTCGGATCCTGAAGCCAGCGGGGGTCTTCGAGCCCAAGGAGCGGAAGCGCGGAGATCAAAAACCAGACGAACAAGGCCGGCCTACAAAGAGGGGTGGCGGAGGAGCTTGGAGAGCATTCATCGCTGCTCGCGCCAGAGTTGTAGGGAGGGTTGTGCTGCAAGCGGCAGCGGCCGCATACCGAGCGCTATCCCGAGAAGAGTTTGAAGTTTACCAAAGAGCAGGCTCAATCGGGACATCTTTGCATCGAGAGGGCAAGAAGTCTTTCGGCACCGTCTCGAGGGAGCTCAACAAGTTGCTGGGCGAGCAGCAGGCGAAGGAGAGGGCGGAGTCCATCTTGAACGCGAGTCGCATGCCAGGGCGCCCTGCGAGCATCGACATGGTCGCTATCCCAGTCGGCGACGTCGCGACGAACATCGGCACGCTCAGAGCAGATCACTACCTCTGCAGGCGCCTCAAGAAGCGCGCAGTCCACGACAGGGCCATGAGCTTATCCAAATGGAGGGCTACCAAGGGCATGCAGCACGTGAACGATTTCATTGCCGCGCTCCCTCTAATGGCTCCATTGGTAAACGGCCTCGTTGCTCGCCCCCACTTTGGTGGCGCATACGTCCTGGAGTATTTCTGCCCGTCAGGAAGATTATCCCCAGGATGGTGGGCTTGCTGGCCAAGTCCGAGAACGCCAAGATCAGGGAGGTGGTCACCAGCTATTACGACAAGCTGCACGATGAGAAGAGAGATGCTTCCCAGCAGGACTTCGACGAGACGCCTAAGAAAGCTCATCAGAAACCAAGTTGCATCGACGCAGGCGTGTGCTTGTGTGGCCCGAAGGGGGACCTCGTCTGGAAGTTCAAAAAATGGGTTGATAGTGGCATCAAGTTATACTGCAAATCTACGTCTATGAGGGATGCATTGTCGTCTGGCGATATCGTCGTTAAGATCCATCACGTGCCAGAGGATTCGAGTGGGGATGCCGCCAGCGCTGGAGACGTTGCAGGTGATGAGGCTGGCCCGATGGGCGAATTTGTGACTTACCTTCATATCGGCCTGATGTATTTCTCGCCGCACAGGCCAACTTATCGCCAGTGCGTACCAGCGGATGTCGGTGTGCTCGGTGACGGCGCTATCGTGCTGGATTGCCTGGACGACTACCTGACGAACTTCGAGGTCGCCGACAACTTGTATGCGTACTTTTCGAAGCCAAGCACTTGGAGTTTGTCTGTTATGCGGGTGCAATCCTCGTCCAGGCCCGTATCGCCCATACGGCCGTCACAGCTGGTGGTTGGCAATATCGAAGATGACCGAGACTTTACGCGACGTTGGCCAGCGCCCAGGCGCAAAAAACGGAAGCGACCTGATGACAATGGGTGGTTGGACGACCTTGACGAGTTGGGCGAGGATGGCGCCGACGGCGAGGACGAGGGCGAGGACGGCGACGGCGACGGTGACCCCGAGATGGTCGAGCCCGAGCCCGAGAATGACATTCATGGCGAGGGAGGGTCTATCAAGTCTCTTTCCTACGACGGCTGGGAGAGCCCATCATCGGTTGCAAACACTGACGAGTTGTTCGGGAGTGACCACGGTGGTGAGGCCATTCTGTCAGATGAGGTCGACGACGTATCAGTTGACAGCGGACACGGTGACGACCCTGGTGGTGATGATCCTGGTGGTGATGATCCTGGTGGCGCCCCTGATCCAGGCGGCGGTGGTGATGGTCCTGGTGGCGACGCTGATCCAGGCGGATGCGGCGGAGGCCCTCCTCCACCCCCACCTCCGCCGCCAGGCGGCGGTGGTGGTCCTCGCGACCCAGCAGACATCACATTCGTCACGCCCTACGGCATCATCCGATACTACGCGAAGAAGCTAGAGTTAGTTGCACATTGCCCCAGGCACGGGGGCAAATGCAGATTGACCAGGACCGTGCGAGGATCAACTGCCCATTGGAGGGCTGGTCAGGGCAGGCCGCTCGGCGCCCTCATGCTGTGGCTGAAGAGGGGCACGGGCGACGACTTCGCCACCCTCCACGACCATGTCCATTGCTGCGCTCTGCCCTTTGGCGACAGGCAGGCCGCCAGGGAGGAGCTCAGGGCCGTGCCAGGCAGCGGCGCGCTCTTCGCCGTTGAGCGCGACCGCAGGCCAGACGAGCCCGACGAGCCCGAGTCTGTTCCCTGAGAACTGCTCTGCTTGCGCAGCGTCTGGCTGCGCAGCTGGAAGAAAAAAACAAAAAAAAAAAAAAAAAAAAAAAAAAAAAAAAAAAAAAAAAAAAAAAAAAAAAAAAAAAAAAAAAAAAAAAAAAAAAAAAGCGCATCTAACCATCCTCCTCATCATCATCAACATGTCCACTACCATCCAAGAGGAGGGATGAGGATGGGGACGACGAGGTGCACGAGGAGCAGGAGCAGGGACAGGAGCAGGAGCAGGGGGTGAGGAGGTGCACGATGAGGAGGGGGGCCAGGAGGAGATCGGAGGAGGGGGAGGGGGACGAGGAGGGGGGATGAGGAGGAGGAGGAGGACCAGGATAGGGGGAATGAGGATCAGGCAAATGGGGCATGAGCAGGAGGGGGGAGGCGGAGGAGGGGGAGGATGACGAGGACGAGGGAATGGAGGAGGAGGAGGCGGCACAAATAATGCCAAATATAAGCATTCTTAAGCTCCAAGAGAGATTCCAACAATGCCCCAAGATGGCTCCAAGAGAGGCCCTAGATAGGCTCCAATGGGGGCTCCAAGAGGTCTCCACGAGAAACTCCACTAAGGCCCCAGGAGGGCCCCATCATGCCAAATACAAGCACACCAGGGGCCCCAATTTGGAACCAAGGGGGGTCCCAATGATGCCCCAATATGGCTCAAACATACGCCCAGGAGGTGCCCCAACAGAGGCTCCAATATGGCTCCAATAGGGGCTCCAATAAGGCACCAACGGGGGTCACTAGGGCACAACATCGGCTCCAATAGAGGCTCCAATAATGCCCCAAGATGGCTCCAGGTGAGGCCCAGGAGAGGCCCCACTAGAGGCTCAAAGATGGCCCAAGAGAGGGCCCAATAAGGCCCCATGAGGCTCCAATCAGGCCCAGTATAGGCACAATAGAGGCTCCAATCTGGCATGGCTCCAACAGAGGCCCAAATAAGGTCCCAAGATGGCCCCAAGAGACTCCCAGGAGAGGCCCAATTGAGGCTCCAAGATGGCTCCAGGAGAGATTCCAGTAAGGCCAAATTGGGGAGGGCACTAAGGCCC